ATTTGCACCACTTCCAAGTTAAAAAAAAAACATAAATTATTAAATTTTTACTGTACAAATTTGTGTAAAGAAATATATAAATAAAAAATTTAATATTTCTCTATACAAAATTGTACACCTCCTGGCTCTCCAGTAAGGGATTGTTTTGAAAAATCCCCAAATATGTGTTAATTTTTTTTAATATATAAGGGTACTTTCAGCAAGTTTTGGTCAATCGGCCAAGAAAATAAACAGTTTCATACAAATTGTAATTCAAATTCATGAAGAATAGTATAGGCTATCTAGCATTCCTCTCACCTAGCCTTAAATATTGGTTTTTGTTAAAACAAATCAGAAGAAAAAGCGCTTCCGAAATGTTTCATCCGCGTGCTGGCGTAATGGCTAGTGATACGTAAATACAATGTTCCACAAAAATAAGATCTTTACTCATATTCTTAAAAAATCCGCGATATCATATGCCTATTTTTTATACATAATTAACAATATGTTTTTTTGTGACAAAAATTATTGAAAATTAAAAAGTGATTTATGAGCGTTATTATTAGGCGTGGCATATTAAATCCTTACGGACGAAACTTACTTCATTTACTTTTATTTATTCTGTGCTTCATTATCAAGACAATTTTATGAAGATAAACTTCGCTCTATATGTTATTTGGACGCATAGTTTAAGTGATATTAAAAAAGGCACGGCGCGCGAACAACACATAATAAACGCTAGCCGCCTGATGAGAACGTAGAAAAACCAAGGATGGCAATGTATGGAAAAATTGGCTAAATTAATGGAGTACTTTTATCTATCGGCAAATGTATAGAGCGAATTTTAATTTTATCCATTCTCCCTCCCCTTTCCGGGTGAGCGTCACCCCCTTGCGCTACAGAAAATGTCCCAAAGCGCAGTTTTTTCTACTTTTTAAGATAACAATACAATATAAATGGAAAGTGTGGTGGTATGAAATGATCCTTAATAAATTTGCCATCAACCTATTATTACACATACAAAAGCGATATCACCTATAGTTCCCGCGCAATCTGCCACTAAATAAGAACGTTTTTATCACTTATCGATTTTTTGCTTAAAATCGATTTTTATCTAAAATTTTCGACTCTACCGCCGATATATGTGTAACTAAAGTATAGAATAGAATATGCTCTTTAAAAGAAGTGTAATTTGTTTCTAAACTCTTTCATTTCACAACGGTCTGCTATTTTAGTTCATTCGGCCATTCATCGAAATATACATTTGCCATATTTGCCACGCTTGGCATGCGGGTTGGCAACCGCATTTTTATTTTTAGTCATTATAAGTAAGACGCTGCTACCCCCATCTTTTGATTCGTTTCCATCTGTCGCCTTTTACGACACCAACAGGATGATATGGCGTAGTGGACGTTCTTACACCGCCACTACATGGTTATAATTTTTAAAATATCATTATATTATTACGTTATTTTTTAAGATATAAAAGTAAAACACAAGCCCACCTGATAGTAATAACTGATGATTAGCTTATGGACCCCTTCCGTCAACTAAACACAATAAAGTTTACAAAGATTTAAGATATTATATCTTCCCCGACGACTAGCTTCTAATAACTCACAGCCTTTATTTATTTATTTTGGTCCACTAACCCTTCGCAGCGGTGGATTAACTACCTCTTAGTTGCAAATAAGCTAAGACTACTCTAGTAGAAGAGAAGCCCCTATATAGTGAGATTGTTCAAAATAAAAATAATTTTTTTTTACTTAAAAACAAAATTTTAATTCGTATAAAAATAAAACTATTTGTTTTAGATAAAATGATAGCTTCAGAACATTTGTCTGGAGTTCCACTATTGGTGCTAGCTAACAAACAAGACATTCCAGACTGTATGGGTGTACACACAGTTAAACCAATATTCAATCAGAATGCACATCTAATTGGTGCAAGAGACATTATGCTAATGGCAACATCTGCTTTAACTGGGTAATTAATTTATTACTTAATTAACTAATTTTAACTCAATTATTGAATAATTTATTCACATTAATTAAGCAATTTTTGCATACTAATTAAAATTGTAAAGTTGCCTAAAGGTTTATTCTCCGTAAAATGACTGGTCATTTTACGTAAAATGACTCATCATGATGAACTCTTTCTTCCCAATGCGGCCCCACAGAAAGGGGAATTGAGACAGTTTCTTGATGTTTTCCTTCATTATGACGAACAGACGGCAACTGTTCAGTGATGTCTCGGTGATCGCGAAGGTAAAAACTGGTAGCGATAACCGAAGAGGTACAACACACTTAACAACTATCATTAAGTTGAATAGGTCGCGAAGTCGACGTTACGGCTCCCTCGTGCTCTAATCTAAAGTACCGAAAACTTTCACAAAATAGTTTTCAGTGGCTAGAATAAAGACCAACCCAAGCCCCAAAGTCTTTCCAAAGTTCTTACTGCCAGAAACAGTAAACTGTTCATATTGAAGCCCTACTGTGGCAGCGTCTTTTCCGGGGCACCTGAGATTTTGAGTGAGATTGATATGTTCCGCAAATGTATAACGAGTAGCATCCGATACTGTTTCGATAATATCCAGAATATCTGACTGAAATTAGAATGGTTCTCCAGCATCTTTGAAACGGTAAGTCTAGAATGGAATTACATCGAAGCTTCTGAAAGCGGGTGAAAAACCGGTGACCGAAAAAATAATGTTCTATTGAAGAACTATAGGCTGATCTCCATTCTAAGCACTCTTATTTCCGTGATGCTTTTGAAGGGCATTACGAATCGTTAATCACGTAGAATTGACGATTTATCCAAACAAGCCGATTTCCGCAAAAGGCTTTAGTACTAGGCCACATACATAAGTTAGTGTTAAGCTTGTCACTTTGTCTTGCGAATGTGAACTAGGTATGAGAAAGCCTTTGACTCCGTGGAAATTTGGGTGGTGGTTACTTCGGCGATGCTAAGTTTACTGTCGGTATTTCACAGTGCTGAAGTGACCGTATAGTATGGCTACGATGGCCATCTGATTACAGGAACCATAGTACAATACCTATCCAACTGCATAGAGTTGTAAGACAGGATAACGTTAAATCTCCGAATCTCTTCACCGCTGCATTGAAAAAAGTTTTCAATTTACTAGACTGGAAATGATACATCAGTGGCGAGTACATCACTCACCTTATATTCTTTATGGAAGAATCGCTGAAAGATTGCACTATGCTCGTAAACTTTAGTGTGTTTCCTAACGGATAGATCTTAAAATGTACTTAGATAAGACAAAGGTAAAGTGTAACGTCCATGTCACACCTTTTGTCGGCATATTATACATTTATGATTGTTGGGAGCACTAAGCTCGAAGTTGTTGACAAATATGTTTACTTTAGTCGAAGTTGGAGGTCAATCTATAGATCCAACTCGACTGGTCAGCGTTCGGAAGATTACGACTCATCTTCCACAAGTTATATCAAAACTTGAAAAAATAGTGGTTAACGTTATATCAAAACTTGAAAACATAGTGGTAAAATCAGTGCGTGTTTCCAGTGATGACATTACCTATATTTGGATTTGAGTTCTGAACTGCTGGCAGTAAGAAACCACAAGATCGTTTAGCCAGCTATGGAGAAGGCTACGCTTTTTATGTGGGCTATTTTCTCAGTTTGATAGACTTCGTAATAAGGATATCCATAGTAGCCGGTTCTACTATAGATATATAACGTGCCAACCGACATAGCCCAACAGCAGTGGTGAAGCGGCAATGGGATTTTTCAGCTGCGATCCGTTGGGATCAACTTTAATCATCAGATATCAATGAATGTGTGGTAGCAATAAACATTTACCATTTCATTGTGTTCATCAGCACCAAAAATTCGCCTGCTAGTATGGACTTCTGGCCCACATGTTAACGAATTTACCACGCTTGGTCACACCGTGACCAATCGTGATATGGGGCGAACACAGTGCCAGATATCTCACACCTTTAACGCTGTTTCCTGTCGCCAGTCTGGGTTTATTTTGTACCTATTTATCAAAGTACTCTGTCGGAAGCCGTGCTCAAAAATAACCCCGCCAGGCTTAATTGGTACCGGACCAATACAGGTAGAACTATTTTCGTGAATAATCCTGATATTGTTTTGGTGCATCCGATTCAGTAAAAGGTATTTTTGTCGGCATTAGCGTTCCGTAAGATGAGAACCTCGTAAAAGCCGAAACAGATAAAAAAGCAAAACATCTAGACCTAGCGCACGAGGTGACCTATATGTGGGGTGGTATGCCGTTGGTAATTATTCCTGTAGTCGTCTTGTCTCTGCCAACGGGTAATTCCGGTCAGCCCTCAGGACATCTGAGGTAACTGGAGTTCAAATGTAGAAGGCGGACATTTTGCATATTATTCTTATCCCCCCTCCCCCCGTTTCTTTACCTATCCCCCTAAACACGCAGTCGTTTAGACTCTCCTTACGAGAGCTTCCGTTTGGTTAAGTTTATTTATTTGTTTAACTGTATTTTATAAAAAGAATGCCAACCAGATGAGGATACTATATACCTGCCTAAATACTCCAATAATATATTTTTTTATATTACAGTGACGGTGTTGATGAAGGAATCAAATGGCTGGTGGATTGTATAAAAAGAAACAGCATCGAAAGACCCCCACGGAACCATGACGATAACTTATAAATCAATAACGACACCTGCATTTAATATTAAGTTCACACTTATATACAATGAATAATAATGAGTTTTCCTATTAAGATAATGTGACTCGTCCCATTGTATTGTATATACTGTATTGACATTTGAGAATAAAACATTAATAGAATCATGTCTATATTGCTGTCCTTTTCCAGTGATAAATTTTATTTTTGATAAGAGATACGTAATTATTGGATATTTGAGGAGTACCTGCACCTGATAAAACACTTCTGATAACAGTACAGTTTGCACTGTGTGTGTATCGTGAACTACTGTGTCGCGCAGAAATGTTTAAGTGATATTATTTTTGCGTGTTAAATGCAAAGATGGCTTATCCAATGTACGAAGTTGATTGGAGTGTTTTACCACCAGAACAAAATCGAAGGTGAGAAATATAAAAAAATAAAGCATAAATAGGTAAACTTATTTTAATATAATAAATGTGGCAATCTTTAATTACTTCTTGGCATAAACATAAAATTAATAATTTCAACACAAAAATGAGTCAAAAATTTCCACGTAGCGATCGTTCAATTATGAACTTACGAGAATAAAAAATGGTTGTGTGTTTTAAAGTTGGTTCAATGGGTGCGTTTGGCAGAAAAAAGCGCTAGCAAGCGCTTATAAGCGCTGAAATAGTTTTCGGCAAAGACACGATTGCTACTTCAGTAGCGCTGACACAATCCGCCATTTTGCTTATTTAATTTGATAGTTTTGAAGTAGAGTTTTTAAGTTGTTTTGCGCAATATTAGTTTTAAGTAATATAATGACATGAATAAACATATACATGTTATTAAAAATTCATGATTAGTAAGTTTTTAATATGAATACTTTACAAACATATATTTAAATTAGGTTAGGTTAAAACTAACATCGTGTCCTGGAGGAAAATAGCTACTTACGATTTGACAGCGCTTACCGCTTACGATCGCCATTTTGCTTACAAGCGCTTGCTAGCGCTTTTTTCTGCCAAACGCACCCATTGGTTCTCACTTACCTTAGTAATCTATGGTTGTCAATCACTTGTCAACGTTGTCAACAATAAGAGTCATAACAGATACTTTTTTCACATATTTATATTATCAACATTTCCATAACTGAAAAGTATTTTAAATAAATTTACATATTAGCTAAATACTTAAAATATTTTATGTCTTATGCTATGTATTCTGGAAATACGATACGAATAGTTAATCTACAATATGAATTGTGGTAGTGGGCTGGTTGCGAGTCATGTCATGACGATCGGCCATGTTGAATTTCTTGCAACGCAGGAAATGTCAGCTGGCGGTTGCCGTAGTAATTCTTTGTAAAATTTGTAATTATAGATTTACGGATCAATTTTCTGTGATAGACGAGCAATCATACAATAATCCACAGATGTTTCGGCCAAGTTAAAGTGAAAGTGAAAAATATGACATTAGTGTACCGTTGGTGGCATGCGATTTCTCTTACATATTTGTGGCCTGCTGCGAGATGAAATTCCTGAAGGACTAGCGCTTGTGAAAATATCTATATTCCTTTTTCTGTATTTTAAAGTACATATTGTTTATAACTTCTTCGGAAAAGTTGTTTGGTTACATCTGGTTTCTTCACTTTTTTTCAAAGAATACCAGGGAAGAAACGTGAACTATTTATCAAGTTAGTGAATGGTGGATCTTGGATAAAAAGCTGCTTCTTTGTCAAGCAATAATTTGTAATTGAACAACATGAACGGCTCTGAATCCGGGTAAATATTTATATTATTAAGTGTACATATATAGAAAGTTATCACAGTCACATACCACTAATAAGTTTATGTAATTTACTGTTTTCAAAGTATCGAATTTTAGTTACATTTTTACTTTGCTGAACATTTACTCAAGAAGTAAAACACTCTATCCATTAGATTTTAATTTACATATAAATATTAATGTTTAATTCATGAGTTGCTACCTTTTGCAATAGGTAGACAAGTATATAGTTATTATAATAAAAAATATTCGACATTTTTCAAAAAATAACTGAGACTTTCTAAAAATAGATTGAAAAAATTATAATATATTAGGGAATCGTTTCAACACCCTGAAACTCAGTTTTCAAGAAAATTTAAATTTTCTTTAATAAGTTTGTTTGATATAAGCATACATAGGTATTTAAGATGTTGAGTTTTGTTTAAGCAAGATGTGTTTGTAGTCTTGTATGATGCAATTAAATTTAAAAATAACTAATATTGCGTTACTTATAAAAAAAGAATAAAATAGAATCATTTTTATTTAATATTGATTACAAGGATACATTGAAAGTCGTTTAAGTTATACCACTGGTAGAAATAGCGTAGAAGCAATCACTTCATTCCCAGGGATTATTATCAATCTTGTACTCTAGTAGTTTAATAAAACTTATGAAACAATTTTTGTTTGTTAACAATGTTTAACTTTTTATTTGTTTTCTTTTTAATAAAAAGGTTAATATTTCCAATATGGACCATCGATTTCAAAGCCCATATTTTTTTTTGTAGATAGTACTCACTAAAAAGAAAGCGTTTTGCAAAGTTTTAGGTTGCGGAAACTTACGGTACATGAGATATATTTTTTTAAACTTTTCATACAAATTGGCAAATAACACGCAATTACACCAATTACAAAATGAATTTGACAAATCATTGATGTCAAACGTCAATTAGTGTAGGTACCGAATATTTTGAAAGTATCGATACGTACTCGATACCAAGTATCGTATCAAAAGTATCAATACTACTTGGTATCGAGTACATTTCGTTAATTTTGGAGACTAGGGGGTAAGAAGCCGGGAAGTTGTGCTCCGGCGCTCCGTGGTAGCTCCGGCGCTGCGGGATGAGCAGTGCCTCCGCCCTAGCGTAGGGAAGCACATGCACCTGGGCTCGCCTTCGCAGCTTCGGTTTTTTGGTCGCATTCGGCGACCAGCCTCAGCCGCTACAGCGATCTCGGTGCCTGCGCTTCCCTACGGCGGGCGGGCACTGCTCTCCCTCCGCGCCTCCGGGCTCTTATATACACTCTAGGGGTAGGGCAGACAAGACCACGTGGATAGTGGGGTGCTCTGATTCGGTTTTGGGTACTTTTTGAATATTAAATAAGTAAGTCAATAAGTAAGTAAACACTTTATTGTAGTAAGAATTAGATAATACAGAAAGTTGCAAACAATAAAATAAAAGTACAAAAGCTGTACTAATTAAGAAATACCAACAAGTTGCCAACAATGAAATACAAGTACTAAGGTGGAACTTAAATAGAGTAAACTTTATTCTACTTTATATACATATATAATTGCACTTATCAGCTCTTCCTATGCATCTAATTGGTTTGTCATAATTTTTCGTCTCCAAAATTAACGAAATGTAAAACGAAACTGAACGAAATGAAAACTTTTGATACGATACTTGGTATCGAGTAGGTATCGATACTTTCAAAATATTCGGAACCCTACACTAACTGACGTTTAACATCAACCATTTGTCAAATTTATTTTGTAATTGCGTGTTATTTACCAATTTGTATGAAAAGTTAAAAAAAATATATCTCATGAACCGTAAGTTTCCGCAACCTAAAACTTTGCAAAACGCTTTCTTTTAGTGAGTACTATCTACAAAAAAAATATGGGCTTTGAAATCGATGGTCCATATTGGAAATATTAGCCAATAAAAATAATAAAATTTGCCTTTTAAAAAAATGTTACAGTATTAACTATTTCCTCGGCAAAACTAGTTTAGATAGATATTCAAAAGTATTTTCACTTGAAAAGTTTATAGTTTTGATTGAAAAAAATACCTATTGATAAAAAGAGATTTTGTCAGAAATATATTTAATTATATATTTAATTATATATTTAATTATATATTTAATTAAAATATATTTAATTTGACTGGCCTGTTGGTCTAGTGGTTAGTGACCCTGACTGTTATGCCGGAGGTCGTGGGTTCGATTCCCACCCAGGACAAATGTTTGTGTGATGAGAACGATCATTTGTTCTGTGTCTGGGTGTAATTTATCTATAATATTTATTTATTTAGAAATATATAAATATGTTTATCAGTTGTCTAGTACCCATAACACAAGCTCTGCTTAGCTTGGGACTAGATGGCGTTGTGTGATAGTTGTGGAATATTGTTATTATTATTATTAATATATTGATTAAAAGTATTTATGACCAAGAGTTAATTTATATATATATATATACATCCCGTCACTTATTGTACGTCCACTATGGCCAATTTTGCATATAATGTGGAGTCAACCTGCTTACGACGTCCAATATACGGACTTCAAATAGGAGACTTAGCGCAATGTTCGCAAATTGTCATGCTGATCACAGAAATGTTAAAATCTAAAAAAAAAATTGGACGTCATCTTTCTTCCAATCTTGCTGTACTGAATATTTACGTAGTTCCTCTAATTTTCGTTGCAAAAATAATAGCACTGCTGTCGATTTGTGAATACTTTCATTTATGGCCGTATTTGACTTCCGCACAAAATTAGGAGATGCGACGTTGCCGTTCCGTCACCGTTGCCAACGTGTTACTTGTATTTGGTGATATATGGTTATGACTGCCCCGATGGTCTAATGGTTGTAGTAGTGCGACTGCTGATCGTGAGGTCCTGGGTTTGAATCCCGGGTCGGGCCAAAAATCAATAATTGAGTTTTTCTGTCAAGAAATTCTCAATAGCTGCCCGGAGTCAGGAAGTTGACGGTGTATCACCCCCGTGCCTCGGAAAGCACGTAAAGCCGTTGGTCCTACGCCTGATCTCTCTCCGGTCGTGTCGGTTTATGAGAGTGCACCTGTGCTTGGGCACTATAATCCTGTCCTGCGCCTTTGGCTAGTCTCCGTTGAGGTAGGCCGCCGTGACAGTAATTTGGTCTGCAGAACATTATTATATAGTTTATACTGTGCTTGGTACTAGTAATTTTACTTTTAAACTTGTTTTCTTAACCTTATATTTACTTACACATAATATGGACGTCCTAATATCCTAAAACTTTCATACTGAATGATATTTGACACCCGTATTTTTGAATTTAGTTATATTTTTATCAATGTAGATGCGGACGTCGGCTTATCGGTTTATTTCATGCCGCACTATATTTTAACATTTTACATTTGGTACTAATCTGCCTCTAAAGAAAAAAGACTCTTGTAAGGTATTTCGTAAGCAACCCATAATTCTGTTTGAGTATAAGTTACCTTCTGTTTGAGTACAGGAAGATGGACTCAATTGTAGATATTGACAGGTTTCATGGAAGTTTGTTTTAATATATTGTGACTACTAACCTCTTACTAATAACCTAATATGGTCTGGCGAAGAAACTCATTTAATATAAGGTTTACTGCATTAACTGCTAATAGGTTGTTAATTTCTACAATAGACCGTG